GAGCTGTCAACTGATCACCACCTGGTTGTGAGTTGGGTTCGCTGGCGGAGGAGGAAGCCGGAAAGACCTGGCAGGCCCAAGCGTGTAGTGAGGGTCTGTTGGGAATGTCTGGCGGAGCCCTCTGTCAGAGGGACCTTCAACTCGCACCTCCGGGAGGACTTCTCCCGGATTCCGGGGGAGGCCGGAGATATGGAGTCCGAGTGGGCTTCATTCTCGGCCTCTATTGTCAATGCAGCTGCTCGGAGCTGTGGGCGTAAGGTCTGTGGTGCCTGTCGCGGCGGCAACCCCAGAACCCGGTGGTGGACACCGGAAGTAAGGGATGCTGTCAAGCTGAAGAAGGAGTCCTATCGGGCCTTGCTGGCTCGGGGGACTCCTGAGGCAGCTGACGGGTACCGGCGGGCCAAGCGTGCTGCAGCCCGTGTGGTCGCGGAGGCAAAAACTCGGAGCTGGGAGGAGTTCGGGGAGGCCATGGAGAAGGACTATCGGACGGCCTCAAAGAGATTCTGGCAAACCGTCCGGCGCCTCAGGAGGGGAAAGCAGTTCTTCACCAACACTGTTTACAGTGCGGGGGGAGAGCTGCTGACCTCGACTGGGGACGTTGTCCGGCGGTGGAAGGAATACTTTGAGGATCTCCTCAATCCCACCGTCACGTCCTCCGAGGAGGAGGCCGAGGCTGGGGACTCGGAGGCGGACTCATCCATCACCCTGGCCGAAGTCACTGAGGTGGTTGGCAAGCTCCTTGGTGGCAAGGCTCCGGGGTTGGATGAGATCCGTCCTGAGTACCTGAAGTCTCTGGATGTTGTGGGGCTGTCTTGGCTGACACGCCTCTTCAACATCGCGTGGCGGTCGGGGACAGTGCCTCTGGACTGGCAAACCGGGGTGGTGGTCCCTCTGTATAAGAAGGGGGACTGGAGGGTGTGTTCCAACTATAGGGGGATCACACTTCTCAGCCTTCCCGGTAAGGTCTATGCCAGGGTACTGGAGAGGAGAATCCGGCCGATAGTCGAACCTCGGATTTCAGGACGCCACTGCAAAATATCAGTATTATACAAAGGGCTTCAAACATACAACTGAGCGCCACACATAAGAACACTTCACATATTTACATGAGAGCTTTAATTATGAATAAAGACAATTCTATTCTGAATGAAAATGTATTCTGCTTCAAAAAGACCATGTCAACACTTAATTCCTAATGAAAATGATTCACTTAATTCTCAAGTTTATTCTGATTTTAAGCCAAATGAAATTATTCCTGGATCACGTAAATGTTTATTCTTCTTAAAAATAATTCCGGGGGTTCTGCGCATGCTCGTTGCGTCGCCCTTCTAACACAATCTGGGCGATCCGGCTCCACCAGTCCTGGCTTTGGACTTTCATCCACGTCTCTTTGGATTTGTGAGCGGGATGTGGGAGTGGGCTGAGGTGGAGCAGCCTCACACTCAGTTTGTCTTCTTCCTCCTTCTCCGACACTCTTCCCTTCTCCTCCTCAGCTGACAGACGTAAAGTGTGATGACAGAATTCTCCAGTTGCTGCACAGTTATCATCGGAACCACTGTTTGTGTCTGTGGCGTAACGACAAACCAAGATGATAAAAAAGCTGCGTGTTTTCCCCAGACAGAGTTAAATAAAGGCCATTTAACGTGTTTTCCATGTAAACCTCAATTCAGGATGATTATTTCCACGTAAACTCGGACTATTTCATTCAGAACAATTCATTCGGAATTAAAAAAACATCATGTAAACGTGGCCACTATATAATATTTCTTATACTGTGAGAGCTTTTACTGACAGAATGTGTTTTAAAGCTGTTTTTGCCCTTTTTAAATTGACCAGTCATGTCACATAACGTGATTAGACTCAGGCATAAAATACACACTTAACTAT